TCCCTGACCTCAGGGACTCAAAAGCTGCTGGGAGAGACAGAAACATAAACAGATAATCAGAAATCACCTTGGTTGGGCTTTGTGTTAGGCCTGGAAAGACAAGTAGGGTTTTACCAGATGCAGAACAGAAAGAAGCTGGTAAGATAGCACAATTCAGCTCAGCAACACAAGAAAAATACAAGAGGGTGGGGAGGCACACAGCCCGGGGAGGAAAGTGGTTGTTTATTTGGAGAGGGATCAGAGAGGAGTGAGGAAGTCAGCCTGATTTACATGGCCACCTAGTGAATATGACAGTTAGGGTGTTGCTAGGTCCCTGTGTTGGGAAGAAATGCAGCAAGATGCTGTGCCTTTCAGAAAGAGATACCTAAAGCGTTTGGTTTTTATGAGTTTTATTTTATATACACGTGCATTGTTTTATGACATTATACCAGCCTTAATAGAGTCCTTCTACCCCCTGCATTCCATCTTTAACATTTACAGGACCCAGGGCAAGACATACAATGTGTTTAAATATTTACAATTTATCAATAAATCTAACAAAATGTTAAATGAAAACTGTTCTATCATCCTGCCTTGACAAATATACCTTCATAATAACCTGAAGGATCAGTTTTGAATTTAAGAGTTCTTAGTATCTTATGAGTTCCATTCTGGAATATGGTGGTTTGGGGAAATCTCACTGATAGCCCACTTCCCACTCTTTCCACAGTGTGGGATATGAAAACATATCTAGACATTTCTCTCCACTTGTCAAGCTCCATCAACACCCCACACCATCACTACAAATAACCACCCATTGGCCAAACCTGTGGCCTAGAGGGATGTTCATTTGAGATATGGTCCACTCTTGGGATATCAGGTTCAAGGAAGAATTCTGCGTAAACCTTAGTAATGGACTTTGAGCCATGGATTATGGGTACCCAGAATGTGGCCTAAAAGTCAGAATGGGGGAGATGCAATTCCTGGTGGTCCTGTTCCTTTGCCACTGACACCCCTACCCCACCCAGTAAGGGGGGCCATGGACAGAGGAAGTGCCACAGCTGAATCCCTTAAAGTGCAGGACATAGGGCAGGGGACTCTCTTAACTACACCTAAGGGCAGTACTCTCCCTACCCTGTCTTACCCTGGTTGACTTATCTTGAGTTCTTTATGCAAATGGTCAGAACTGAGGGCTTTTTATGCTAGATAGTCCCAAAGCTTCTGATTAGATGATGACTTAATTCAATGGTTAGTTAGGGTTTAATCTCCCCTTAAAGGTCAGTCTATCGTAGCCATCTTCCTCCAAGCCAGAGACAACAGTCAATTTGTGTGTGTGTGTGTGTGTGTGTGCGTGTGTGTGTGTGTGTCTGTGTGTGTATGAAGAGTGAAATGGAGAACTCATCTTTCTTATAGGCCAAACATGATGGATTGTTATCAACATTAAACTCTTTCCAAACGTCTTTAGTTCATATTTCACATGTGCTTCTCCACCACTGTAGAGAAGAATACATAATTTTTTGCCATTGAGGCTGAAAAAGGAGTAAGAAAATACAATATAGGCAAAGGAAAAAGCCCTAGTCCTCTAACCACAAGAAGAGTAGGCAGGAGTCCATTAGAGGAAGGGGGTCGGGTGTTGGCTGTGCAGACTGCTGTGAGTCCCATCCTGGGAGGTAGTGGAAGGGCTCTGGATTATGAACCGAGACACTGAGGGATCAAGGACTCTTGCCTCACTCTCTTTACAGACATCTGGTGGAGGTTGTGCAGACAACAGAAGGGGCAGCCCCATCAACGTAAAGGTGGATGGCCAGCAAGGTTAGCAGAGAGGAAGAGCCTGAGTGATCTTATCAGACTCCCCTTCCCCTTGGCTCCTTGATGGCAAAGCTAGGACCCCAGCATCCTGAATGCTGGCAACTAGTAATACATAGCTGTGTGAATGGCAGCTCTCACACAAATATTTCTGTTTGCATCGATTGAGATATATGGCTACAGAGCATTTGGATTTGTTGTTCAATTCTCAGTCCTCATATTACTTGACCGTTCAGCAACATTTGACATAGTTAATGTCTCTACTCCTTGAAAAACTTTCTTCACTTGGTTTTCAGGATATTATCCTCTCTGAGGATATCTTCTACTTTGCTATCTTCTTCTTTCTTCTTCTTTCTCTTTTTTTCTTCTTTTTCCTTGTCTTTCTTCTTTCTTCTCCTTCTCCTTCTCTGTTTCCTTCTCCTTCTCCTTCTTTTGGTCATTATTGTCTGTTCCTCCCCATTTCCCTAGCCTATAAACCCTGTCCTGTCCTGTGGCTTAGTGTTCAGACTTCTATGCCTTTTCCCCCACTGTTTTCACTCTTTGTGATCTCATCCAATTGCTTGGCCTAAAAAATCATCTATATGTAAGGATTCCTAGATAGGCATTTCCACACTGGACCACCCCTCTGAACTCCAGACTCAATATATCCATCTGCTTACTCAGCAGTTTACTTGAAAGTCTATCATTAAATTAAAATTGGATATTAATAATCCACTATCATAATAGGGTACTTAAACATAATATTCTCAATAATTGATAGAAAAAGCAGTCAAAGCTGAATAAATATAGATGAAATTTAAATAACACAATGAATGACTTAGGACAAGTAATAGCATTGTACCCCAAAACTCCAGAATACACATTCTTCTCCAGGTACACATGAAATATTCATGAAAATCAATGATGTGCTAGACCATAAAGAGAGCCTCAATAAATTTCAAAGAATTTGTACCATGATAACTTATCACAATACATATAATTAGAAATTAATAACAAAACATCTAAAATACCATAAATGTTTGGAAATTCAAAATCATATTTCAAAATCCTAATGGCAATTCAAAAATATTTATAACTGAACAATTTTTTAAAACAGTATTTATCAAAACTTGTGGTATGCAGCTAATGCATTACTTAGAGGAGAATTTATAGCCTTAAATACTTATACACATATACAAAATTTCCTTTGGCTACATCTAGGAATAGAAATACTGGGTCATAGGTAATGGGAATATTCAAATCACTATGTAATACCAAATAGTTTTCCAAAGAGGCTGTAGCAATTTGCAATCCCACTAGCTGTATATGAGAGCTCTCATTGTTCCATATGATCACCAACACTTGATGTTTTTCTACCATTTATTTGGGATATTAATTCATTATTAGATAAATGTGGTTATCATGTTTTTACCAGCTTTTGGATTTTCATGATTCTCTTCATTGTGTCTTTTACTAAACAGGAATATATATATATATATATATATATATATATATATATATATATATNATATATATATATATATATATATATATGTAACAAAATGTGTTGTGTTTTAGTTTATAAATTGAGTTTTTTATGTCTTGTTTAAGAAATCTTTACTATCTCAAGGTCATAAACGAATTCTTCTATATTGTTTTAAAAGCTTTATAATTTTTCTTTCACAATCAAGTATTTAAACTATCTGAAATTGATTTTTGTTTCTGGAATGAGGTCAAGGTCCAATTTCATTTTATTTTGTTCCAGAAAAACCAATTGTCCCAGTGCCTTTTATTAAGTAATCTGTCATTGCCACAGTAATCTGCAGTGCCATTTTTCTCATGTATCATGTTTCCATATTAAACGGGTTTATTTCTATGCTTTTGTTGTTCTATTGGCTTATTTATCTTCCGCTGAGCAAATATGAAGGTGATAATTGCTATAGCTTTATAATTTTTAAAAATATCTTATGGGGAAACTTTCTCTAATTTTCCTCTGTGAAAAACAGGCAACTTTGTGATATTGAGTTCTCTTATCCATGATTAAGGTATAATCCTCCATTTATTTACATATTGTACATGAATGTCCATAGTAGCAAAACCTAGAGACCCACTCTCCATCAACAGTAGAGTGGATAAATTGTGACATATTCAAAATATGGAATAATATATAATAGTTAAAATAAGGGGAGAACAGAAATATACATTAACATGAATAGTTTTCAAAAGAATAATTTTGAACAAAGTAAGTCATTGATATGCTGTATGATTACATGTATATAAAATGCAGAAAATAGCAAAATAAAACAACATATTTTCTGGAACATCTAGTAAAACTATTAAAGAAGCAAAGGAAATTATTGACATAGAATTCAAGATACAATTTACCTCAGAAGTAGGAGAAGAATGGGTATTGTGTTGAGGGGAACAGAGTGGGTCTTCTACTGTACAAGTAACATTCTATTTCTAAAGCTGAGTGGTAGGTCTATTTTTTAATATATATGTAGACATATATATTTCTATTTGATGTATTTCACCATAAAAGAAAAAAATGAATATGAATGTCTTGGAAAATCTTGTTAAAAATAAGTCATTTTAAAAAATGACTTTCAAATTAGGTGTGGGAGAGACAACTGTAAAAGATAGAGAGAGTTGGAAATTTGCTCCTTTTTAAGAAAATTGGAGGTCAAAATTATAGAAAACACATAGTGGATACAGTTTATGCAAGAAAGATAAAATGCACTTTAATCAATATATCCATACACAAATGAAGGTCTGCATTTATATTAAAAGCTAGGCAAAACAACATGTATTTATGTTTTAAGTTAAAATCCTTAATGTATTTATGAATCTATTTTTATGATGCCCTGCCTTATTAAGCTTTTCAAATCACCAACAAAATATTGATGATGACAATATCATATAAGAAGGCTTCTATGGTACTGTATCACTCAGTTGAACTAAAATCTAGTTTCTTTTCTTTCCCATTACCCAGTGGGTGGCAGCTTATAAAAAAGAGTGAATAGCTAATAGATAAAATATATATCTGTGTAGAGTGAGTAAAATTTCTAAAAGTCCTCTTATGTTTTCTGGGAATTAATATCTAGCTTACGAATACCATGTCTATGTAATCTATGCTGACTATTGTAATAGAGACTGTCTGTTTTTCTGCTTCTAGAATGATACTGGAAAACATTTTCCAGTCTCCCTAGCATTTGGATATGGTCACATGACTGAATTTCAACCAGTGGAATATAAGTGCAAAATGATATTTACAACTTCTAGGCCTATAAAAAAACACCTACCATAAAACCTCCCAGGTAAGACCTTCTATGACACCTTCTCCTTCCAGCTGAGTTGAATAAAGATGAGCCGTAGTGTTACCTGGGAGACACAAGTAGAAGGCAGTGCAGCCTTACAATGGAAGGAGCCTTAGTCACTGTAACATAACTGGCAAAGAGCCTGCTTGACCAGGAACAGCTGTACTGGATGCCCTGAGTAAGTAATAAACTTCAATGATAAGAAACTCAAAAGATGTTGAGGTTTATCTGTAACCGCTATTAGAATTTATCCTAATTAGTACCAGGAAAGCTATCTAAGAAAAAAAGAAAAAGAGGAGGAATAAGGATACAATTGGATATCTTTTTCTTTTCTCTAGAGAACAGATCCAGAGAAGTTCTATACACACCAGCTGGCTGGGCAGAGCCACATAAGAAACAGGGAAGCTGCTCCTTTGCTGCCCAGTGAGCTTTATAAACTATGGCTAAGGACTCTCCAACCAAAGCTATATTACTACCAGTGGCCCATCAGCCATCTAGTGAGGGGCTGCAAGGCTATTCAAAGCTTGAATTGAATTGGCATGCATTCAACAAATATTTATTGAGCAACTATTTTGTGTTATAAACTATAAAAGATTCTTGGGATAGTTTTGTGAAAGTGCTTTCCAAATTGAAAATACTCGGCATTGCTAATGTTGAAATTATTGGTATTATTGAATGTCTTGAATTCTTTAATCCATAAAACCCTCCACACTCTTGGGAAAAGAAAATTTTTTTGGTTTTGTTTAGCTACACCTTGAATTTTGTTTTCACCCTTTCTCAATATAAATAATTCTAATTTTTCTTAAAATATGGCTGAGAGTGTTGGTACTCAGCAAATACCAATGTGTTTCACTGTATTTTTCTTTCCTCATGTATCTAGGTGAGCAAATGTGACTAATTTCTACTGGTGGAAAATTAAAAGAAGTATGTACCCCTTCTAATCTGAGGCAGATAAGAGTGGATGTGCCTTCTCCACAGATGCCCTTTCTCTTTTCCAGCCAAGGGGCTAGATATTTAAAAAACAGTAAGAGATGAACAGGGTTTATTAAAATATTAGAAAAGAAACTAAGGGGAAAAGTACAATCTCAGTCCCACTTGTATTTTATTGAAGAAGGCTCGTGTTGAAATTCTCAGCCTCTTCTAACACCTCAGAACTTGCTGTGCCTTTATGACTGATCACAAAAATGCCACATAATCACAAAAATTTACCATATCTTGGTGAAAGCCTGAAAATTTAATATTAAAATAATTGGAAATTTCTGTGAGTCAACACGGAATTACTAATGATTTCTTTTTAGCACAAGGGAATTGATTTAATTGGGAAAGAGAATTAAAATATTTTATTAATGTTGCTAACATAATGGTCATTAAATATTTTTAATACACCAGCAGTGATATATGCAGGGCTATGCTATAGAGAGAATAAATGAGGGAAAAAAATGCATCAATTTGTTAGATTTGAGAGGGTAGAGCTATTCCCTAGTGCAGGAATTTTTATATTGTATTTGTAAAAGAAATGGGTTATTTTCTCAAAGTCTGCTAAAGATGAAGGGAGCCAAGAAAAGTTTACATTTGATGTAAACAGCCACTTTCTTCACCAAGAACACTGAATGCTCGCAAAGAAAATATTGAAAACATGATGCTGCATACTAATAATACAAGTTTCTGTGCTCTTTTCTGTAAAACACAGTTTACCTAGAGTATCATAAGCTGGAAAGGTATCTTCTGAAAATTTTTTTCTTGCTGTTTTTTAAAAATATTTCTGTCAATAATCAGCAAAGCTTCACAACTTATTAAGAAAGAGCTAAGTTTATGCTTTAAGCAATATGTGCATTCTCTAAGAATTATGCTACTACTATCATTCTGTTGATAGCTGTACTTATAAGCACTTGGAAATCCAAAATATTTACCTCAGATATTAGCTACAGGGAGTACACATTCCTAAAGACATGTTGTTGCAGCACAGTTTCCTCTTTCTTATTAATTACTTTTCTGAGCTTCTTGTTCGCCAGACTTCAGCTTTACTTCTGTATTTTATAATCAGCAAAATGCACTTCCTAAAGAAAACAGCTTGTACCGTTACTGTGTGGCTGGAATTTCTAGTGCAAGGAGGCACAGTTAGTTGTTGCTTTCAACCAGCTCCCACTGTGATATGACAAAATGTGTCTAAACATGTAATCATAATCTCCAAAGGTAGGTTAGGGCTGGCGTCAGACTTAAAAATCTCATCATGACAACCTAGGAAGAGACTGAGTTCTGTTGAGACATTTGCATAAGTTCTTTGATAATCATAAGCCTTGTTTCTTCAATGGTCCCTCAGACTAAGTTTCTGTTACTCCTGTATTAACATACCAAGTGAAAATAAGCTGCTAATGTATTCAGAAAAACAAGAGCTTCACAATTGTATGGATGGGTAAAAATATTAATTTACTTTAGAGAAGTTGATACGCTGTACTCAGACAACGAAATCTGCAGGAATGAGTTTTTGTGTCATATGGCATAAACAGCATCATATTGAACAATAATTAAAATCACAGAATCACAAACATTTAGATCTGGAAAACATCTCTTATACTGTCACCGTTTAATGTCCTTATTTTCAGAGAAGAAAACAGAGTTCAGAAGGGTCAAGTGACTTACTCAAGATCACACAGCTATTTAAAGATAAACCTGGGTTAGAAATGCACGTCTTTCAAATAGTCAAACAACCTTTCGTGCATACAAAGCACTGATAAGTTATGAGTAAATGGAAGCCAATGCAGCACCCAAGTGATCCATGGGGATATCTGTAGGCAGATCTATTCATTGATTTGCTACAGACATTGGGAAAGGAACTTGAAAATACACCACTCTCAAAATTCATTCACTTCAATGCAATATAACAAATGTTTATGGAGAACCTACTGTGTGAAGTCACAGAATCAGGAAATTTTGGCACATTGTATGTTAGCATCTAATAAAACCCTTTAGGATATTCTCACGGAAGCCACACATGTTCTCTGGATATTTTAATTTGCATATATTCATCAGTATGAAATCGACCAATAGAGAGCAAAAGGGAAAGGAGCACTTCAGTCTTTCTGGAGAGAGACGGAGGGTATAGCAAAGGGATCAAGAGGAAAAATAGACTAAATCCCCTCTGCATCTAAATTGGAAGTCCTGTCCTTTTTTTTTTCTCCTTTCCAATTTTTCTTTCCCCTTCCTTCTCCTCACCTTTCATTCTCCAGGGCTTCTCAGGAGTATCCCAGAAATAGATAGAGGTCTGAGATATTTTCCCTTTTCAAAAAGTGTTTTGTTTTCATTTTGTTTTTTGGAGGCTTCAAGTATATAAAAATAATGACAAATCAGGATACATACATTAAATGTTTTCATTTAACAAATTGACAATTTTAATACACACAAAACAATATAACTGTGCTATTCATAGGATAATTATGATAGTTTTAAAGAATCATTTCACTGCACAATAGGCATTATGATCTGAAATGGTACACAAGCCTAAAATTTTAGAAAGCATGACCTCTTTCTAACTTGTGTCTCTAACCTCTTTCAAACTTGTCTGTGTGGTCAGATGGCAGACACCAGATGTTTAAATATGAGGACATTTATGTACATCTCAACCAAGTGTCCTCCTCCCCTTCCCTTCCTCCTACCATCTTTTTTTTTTTTTTAAGATTTTATTGGGGAATTGAGGGAGGGGAACAGCGTTAGAGAATTGGGGGTAGGGGAACAGACAAGTTGCTGTTCTTTTTGTTCTTCAGTCTAGTTGTGGAGGACATCACTTCACTGGCCCATGTTGGTATTATCATTGCGCTCTTCCCGGGTGAGGCAGATCAGTCTCCGGCCACTGGACGGCCACCTACGGTGGCTCTTGGCAGCTCATGCTGGCTGCCGCCCGCTCACGGTAGCTTACGGGGCCCACTGCACCTCACTGCAGCCTACGCCTTCGCTGGCGACTCACGGCAGCCCAGCTCCAGGTCGAGCTGTTGTTCACCATCTTAGCTGTAGAGGGCAGTGTCACTGGCCCCCAGGTGGGATCCGAACCAGGGCCCTGCTGCTCAGAGCTGGCGTCCCAAGCCAGCTCTTAACCAACGCGCCACTCGGCCGGCCCCCTCCTACCATCTTAATCATCACCATCTTTCCCTTTCTTCCACTGCTTGTACTCAGAGAGGGTGGAGTGCAGTGTTTCAGGAAACACAAGGTCAGGACCACTCTCAAGGCCTCTCACTGGGTTTTAAAGTCTAAGGAGTGGAGATTAGTGGGGCAGCTGCAAACCAGAAAAGGGAGTTCACTCAAGGAAGCACCAACAACTGTTTGGAGGGAACAAAATCTAAGAGCAAACCAAGTCAGAAAGTAGATGTAGTAAGCATTATTTTGATTTTGAGACCAGACCCAAAGTCCAAGGAGAAGCATGAATAAAAGGCCAAGGTGTGTGGGCAGGGGAGGGCAGCTACTAAAATTAGATCAGGACTGGTGGGACACTGCCGTGCACAGTGGAAATTCCACATTTTTACTGACCCCTCTGATGGAAGAGGTTATTTCATTCCTTCCCATCATCTTGAACTTGGAGGGGAAAAGTTTGGTTCAGAGGTGAGGCCAGAGTTGATGGAAAAATATGAACAAAACCATCCTCTGTTCTTTCATCTCTTCCCTATCTCAAGACTGATAGTCAACTTTCATTAGTTAGGAGTTGGTCATCTAAAATCCTCTTTCTTTTTCTATACCCCGGCAAACTTTTGAGATGGAAGAGCCACGAGGGGTCAGCAAACTCCAACCTGCAAGCCACATGTGGCTCTAAAGTAAAACTGAAAATGAAAATAAAACTATCATAGTTTCATTTATAATATTACTTTACATTTTCCTTACTTGTAAAAATATATTTATGGCTCTAGAATAACTTTTAAATAGTTGTGAGGGACAGGATTGGCTCCTCCAGGGGTCAGCAAACTTTTGAGACGGAACACACCCAAAGAGCCGCTTGTGGCTCGCGAGCCGCACTTTGCCAACCCCTGCACTAGCACTTTGTCCTCCATTTCTCTTCTACCAGAGTAAACATGGGAAGGAAGAGAGGGTGAAATCCAAACAAGTTAGAATCTACCTTGGTACGAATATAGGAAAACCATTTAGCTATAATCATTCTTTTAAACTAAATGGATTTAATTTCACCACTATCAGTGGCCTCATTAAATGTTTGAGAAGTGGCAGTTGCACAAGCTTTATCTGGATACAGGGCTGCAAAAAGTTGAGAGTGGCTATTTCTTATATGTAAATCTAAATCTAGTAATACAAACTTCCTACAAGGTTTCAAAGCTTGATATTTCATGCAAAACATGTATGTATGTGCATTTTTCTGGGCTGATTGTCTACAGATGCCATTAGATCCTCAAAATGGATCTGTGACCCTAAAACTGTAATAACATCTTGTTGTTTTATAGCCTCACAATCATTCCCTGCCCAAAGCAACGCCTTTCCAGGTCAAAAGATAATTGACTTTGTTCTTTTTACGTGTATGTGTCAGACATCAAAGTGGCCCTAGACCAAACAGAATATACCCTTGCCACATTAGCTTGTTATCTAAGGCATACTGAGCACAGCTGGCTTGAAGCTCCAGGCGTTTGACAGGATTGTTTCAAAATGCATACTGGAGTGGGAGGGGGCAGCTGTGCACCACAGTTTTGCAGGGAAGTTGAGGTTCAAGTCCTGGACACCATGCTTTAATCCTGTCCTATAAAATTATAGGAGAGGGATAGGAAAAGGGACCCAAGCTTGAGCTCCATGCAGACTTTCCCAAATAGATGGAGGTATGCAATTGTTCTCATTATCTTAAAGACCAAGTCTTCCTCAGTGAAAGACCAAGTGGGGGATTCTCTTCGTCTGTTTTGAATGACTTGAATATGGTCCTGCCAGAGAGCAGAGGGATGAACCGGAGGACTTCCTCAAGGATCTCTGAATTCCCAGCATTCTCTGAAGTTTAGACTTCTGTTTTACCTTCCACTAATCTACCTTGAAAATAGCCAGACATGACACCTTGTTGCAAGAATGTATCTTCCCCTCCAAAACCAGTCTCTGGGCAGGTGTCTAGGTCTTGAGGGGCCAAGCTCTCTCTTGGTTCTGCCAAATGCACTTAAGTAGCACACTTTTCTTACACTTCAAATGTGCTTCAGTGCCTGACCCTTTGTCTAGATTATTGTTTTCAGCCCGCCTGGTGTTTGGCTGACTCCCAGGGCTCTGATAACTACATTTGGAAGGGTATATGTGGAAATGGAGAGAGTCATATAAATTGTACTTAGAAGTGTACACATTTGAAAATTTAATGGGATGCATCCATCACTCCTGGACACCAAAATGATGATTTCATAGATCATGCAATTGTTCTGAACACCTTCTTTTGACAACCCTCATCTTTGAACTTGTAGCTCTTTCATTTATTGCAGCTATTTGGATCATTTAAAATTTAGCCTACTTTTCTCCAGGTGATTTATTTAGTGTTTATAAGTCCATTTTGACATCTTCTTCCATTTCTTCCACCCCCCAAAAAATCTCATCCTTATGGTCTTAGTGGAGGCATCATTTACAGCTAGAGAAGCATATCTGAAAATGCATTACCTTTAAATAGTAGGATTCATCATATCTGAGTTCATAAGTCTGATAGCCAAAAAGCCCCATTTCATTTCAAAAGAAAAATTGCTTCTGTCAGTGTAAACAGAATGCATTATCCTCTTTTAATAACCATTCTTAAGTATTCTGCTGTATTACTTTTTCACAGCTGTATTCCAATAAGCTGTAGAGTAATTGCCAGTTCTCCTATCTAATAGGTTCATTATTCTTTTGCCATAATTGCAGCCATTAAATGTTCAATTGTTAAATTTCCACTCCTACGTTTACTTAGTGTTACACTTTATAATGGGGCATGTCATTACAGCACCCCAGTGGCCATGGCTGTTGTTCAAAGTATTTCTAAAAGTCAATGAGATCCCCGTGAAATATGTCTTCATTTTTCATTTGTTCAGATACCCTCCCCCTCTAAACTCCCCTTTCCTTTTTTAGAGCTTCTAAATAGGCTCTTACAAATTGGTAGATTTTACTAGAAGTTTAAGGACCTGACCTAGGCTGGGAGACATAAAACTGAGCCCTCAATGTCTCTGAGCACTGCTTTCAAACTTTAATGTCATGATTCATATATGATTCAAGATGATAGAGTGAATATTTCACTAAGGAAATTAACACTTAAGACTTAATGGTTTTTTTTCAAGAGCTCTGATTTATCTTTATCATGTTAAATTTGTGGGGCTTTTTCATCAAATGAAAGGTACATCGGTCCGAGGTTATGGGATTGTTAACCTCTGTGATGCTCCTGGTAATAAAGCCAATGGCTTCCTTTTATTGCTTGACATTTCTGGGTTTGTCACATCTTTGGGCCTGGGCTCACCTATTCTGTCTGATACAGTAGACTGTGTTGCTTTAGGAGGTTATATTGATGAAGATGTATAGGGAAATGATAAAAGATTTTAACTCACTCACTGTATACAGTTGAGCATCTCCTGGTTGGTTTGGTTTATTTGTGTTTGTTTGCTTTGGGATCTCAGTATAGGATTGAGAGGTCTTGCATAAGACATTTAGTATTTCTTAACTACTCAAATCCTAGCCAAAAGCTGTGATCTAGGTCACATTTCATTTTTAAAGTTTTCTAATCATCTGTTCATCAGTTAATCATTACTTTCAAGGTTACTTTATTTCACTTCCATTTATTACATTAGCTTTTATTTCCTCCTGAAGTTGAAAAATAATTTTACAGCCAATGGGTTAGCATTGTAATGTGATCTTACTTATTTCAGCTCTGTATTCCTTTGGGAATCTTCTGTGATTAGAGTAGACTTTATTCCTGGTAAGAACAACAGAAGACTTTTTAATAGCATGGTTCATGATATCACATGTGATATAAATCAAGTTATACCCCTTACACCATAACCATTTTTTCCCCATACATCCACTTCTGCTCATTTACCCTGATGCTAGTTAACAATAATAGCTAACACTTTTTGAACATTTGCTCTTGCCCTGTCTCTGTACTATATGGTTATATACATTTTCTCATTTAATCCCCATGAGGTGAGTACATTTATTATTCCCACTTTACAGATAAGGAAACTGAGACTCAGAAAATTTAAGTAACTTGCACAGTTATGGCTGATAACTGAATTCAGAGGCCACACTCTTAACTTCTATTTGACGTTTTTATAGAGGGAATACTGCTATAAATAGTGAAAGGAACTTAAATGTATTCATGAAGCAGCAAATGGTAAATAACTCTTAAGAATACTGCCGCCTTCCTAGGCAAACAGATCAGGGAAAAAACTTGCCAAAGGTTACAGGGCAAAATGAATATCCAGGATAAAATTTTTCTACTGTCAGTTTTCCTCCACAATAAGCCTGTTCACAAAATAGACTAAAGAAAATAACTGTAAAACTAACCTGAGAGTGGTTTATAGTTTATTAGTCCCAATAACTTTCCTATAAAGAAAAAATAGACTTAAAATATTTAACATAGTTGTATCCATCCCAAAAAACTGTACCAAAATGTTCAGGGGTTATTGTCTTTCATATATCAGTAATATAAATTTTGTAGTAAGAGTTTAGATATAATTTGATTGCTAATGAAAAACAAATGACACTTCTTTTTCTTTTCCCTGGCTATATTGGCTTTGCAACAAGCCCAAAACTGAACATTTGTTGTTGTCAATAAAGCAGTCAGCTGTGTCACTTGGGGAAGAGATATATGGAGTAGAATGGTATTATTTTGACAACCACTTTCTCCAAAGCAATACAGTAAATGTATCTTATTTTGCTCATTTACTCACAGCACAGTGGCCAAGGTGGAAAAAGAAAGAGCACAGCATAGGTAGTGTCGATAAGAAAGCCATATTGTGTGATTATCAAAAAGAGGCACATAACCTGATGAAGTCAAAGGCATCACCCAGAGAGAATGACTACAATGGCTGCAGAAATAATTGGAGAGGAAGTAAAAAGGTGAGCATCCTCATGTCTGAAAACAGTTTTCTTATTTGTCTCATTAACTAGGTAATCTTTTGGTGGTGCCATACTTTAGAAAATGGTCAGCTACCAAAAATAGATGTTGTATAAGATTTGCCAATCATAAAGTGATTATCATTAGAGTTAATTCAGTTCAAGATAAAATTGGCTGATCAACTTTTAGAAATTTTTTGAAAGAACTGAGTATAAAGTAGTTTAAAAAAAGTTGTCTTTTCTGCTGAAATTTTCTTTTGATTTGGGATGTCACAAAGAATTGACACAACTGAAGGGAATACATGCAAGATCCATCACTGTCATTACTTAATATATTCAAAAGCTTTTATCAGATCGTTGAGAGCTAGCTCTAATAACAAACTGTGCTCATTTAAATGAACTATTCTTAATGAGGTTAAGTAAAAAATACTTACTTCAGATATATACATATGAAGATTACAAATGGTGAAACAGAGAAAGGGTTAATATGGTGATATTTTTTCCCTGTTTAGAAAAATAATGGCTTAAACAACTTTCATAACCTTGTTTCTTAAAAGAAAAAAAAATACACTTGTGTGAAGTATGAGAGATTTTGATGTTTAGAAAAGTCTAAACTGAATCTATTAGATAGAAAACTTACCTAGAAGTGATTCCAGTCTTTGAAACCAGTTCTGGAGTGGTCCAGAAACCATAAAAAGATTTATGATACCAAAGCATTGCAAAAACATGAGAAACCCCGGGAGAAACAGAAGGTAGTTGGCTCCCAGTATGTATGTTGGGGATGGGGAAGCACCTAGAGTGGAAGAGGAGCAAGGAGATGGGGGACATTTTTCTTGTATTTCACTCTCCTCCACCTTACATTGCCCTAAGTAAGGCAAAAACTCAGCAGCTCCAATTCAACTAATTGGATGTTCTCTATTGCTGGTAAAGAAATGCAATCTGTCTTCTATATTGATCTTGTATTCTGCAAATCTGCTGAATTGTTTTATATTTAAGTAATTCCAAAGTATATCTTTTTACACATTCTAACATCTCTGAAATTGAAATGAATCTTAAAATCTGTTTTGTAATCACTGTTTTCTAGGTAGCAGTCATCATTACCAGGGAATGAGTGAACTTGGTCACATCTATTGTCATCCCTTCAATTGAATTCAAGTGTATATGGTAAGTACCACATGTGCTGAACATAACTGTCAATTAAAATATCTTTAAAATAATTACGCTATTATTGCTTTAGAAAGAAAAGTTATTGAGTTCATGACAAAGCTCAGAAACAGCAGCAGAGCACAAATTAGATATTAATGTAGTAAATATTCATTAGGGAAGAATAATCAAAATATCGTATTTACTTGCAAAACAATAAGCAAGTGCTATACAGAGGGAAAATATCCATACGTAGATAAAGTCTTACAGTTTGTTACTGCAAGGAGTGAAAAATATTTGCCTACCACACATCAAGCAATAAAACTTAGGGCACAACTTCTCTGAACGCTGGAATAACTGGAGAAAGCGACAAATCACTCTGTACAAATAAAGACTAATTCAAGCAGTATGTAGGACTATCATTAAGGCAGCGTCAGAATGTAATTGACATCAATTTTTTCTTAGTTAACAATGATGAACCTTTTCTTATTTTATTTTAAGGTTTTTATTAAAATATAGCTAACATACAATGTTATGTTAGTTTCAGGTGTACACCATAGTTACTCAACATTTATACACCTGAAGAAGTTATCACTATGATAAGTCCAGCAACCATCTGACACCATACCATGCTATCAGAATATTATTGACTGTATTTTCTATGCTGTACATTACATCCCCATGACTTGTTTTATACCTGGAACTTGGATTTCTTATTCTTTTTCATCTTTTCCTACCTTTTAAAATTTTACAATTGCAGTTGACATTCAATATTAGTTTATATTAATTTCAGGTGTACAGCATAGTGGTTAGACATTTCTATAATTTAAGAAGTGATGCCCCTGACTAGTCTAGTACCCACCTGACACTATACATAGTTATTAACATTTTATTGACTATATTCCCTATGCTTTACTTTACATCCCAATGACTATTTTGTAACTACCAGTTTATACTTTTTTGATCCCATCCCCTTTTACACTCAGTCCCAACACCCCCCCACACACACACACACACACCTGGCAACCATCAATATGTTCTCTGTATCTACAAGTTTGTTTCTGTTTTATTTTGTTCTCTAGATTCCACATATAAGCGAAATCACATTGCATCTGTCTTTCTATGTTTGACATTCTCCACTCAGGACAATACCCTCCAGAACCATCCATGTTGCTGCAGATGACAAGAACCTAATCTCTTCCATGGCCAAGCAATATTCCATTGTCTACATGTACTTCCTCCTCTTTATCCATTCTTCCACCGACAGACACCCAAGCTGCCTCCACATCTTGGCCATTGTAAACAATGCTGCAGTGAACATATGGATGCACATGTCCCTTCAAAGTAGCATTTGGGCTTCTTCAGATAAACACCCAGAAGTGGGATTACTTGGTCTTTCTTTGTCACTTGTTAGAGCCTTTGTTTTAAAATCTGTTTTGTCTGGTATAAGTATTGCTACACCAGGTTGTTTTGCTTTTTTCATTTCCATTTTCATGAATTAACTTTTTCCATCCCTTTATTTTCCATCTGTGTGTTTGTTTGTTTTTTATCTGAAGTGAGTCTCTTACAGGCATCATATGTAAGGATTTTGTTTTCTTATCCATTCATCCACCCTATGTTTTTTATCAAAGCATTTAATCCATTTACATTGAAAATAATTGTTGATAGATATGTAGTTATTGACAATTTATTCATAATTTTGATTTTTTTTCATCTTAAAGGGGTCCCTCTAACATTCCTTATAATACTGGTTTGGTGATGATGAACTCCTTTAGCCTTTTCTTGCCTGGAAAGCTCTTAATCTGCCCTTCAATTCTAAATCTTAGCTTTGTTGGGTAGAGCAATCTTAGCTGTAGGTCCTTGCTTTTCATCATGTTGAATATTTCGTGCCAATCTCTTCTGGCCTGAAGTTTCTGTTGAAAAATCAGCTGACAATCTTATGGGGTCTCCCTTATAAGTTACTAGTTGCCTTTCTATTGCTGCTTTTAGGATTCTCTCTTGGTCTTTAACCTTTGCCATTCTAATTATAATGTGTCTTGGTGTGAGCCTGTATAAGTTCATCTTGTTTGGGACTTTCTGCTCTTCCTGGACCTGTATGTCTATGTCCTTCTCCAGGTTAGAAAAGTATTTCATCACTATTTCTTCAAATAGGTTCTCAATCCCTTGCTTTCTCTCTTCTCCTTCTGGTACCCCTATGATGCAAATGTTATTATGCTTGATGTCATCCCAGAGGTCTCTTAAACCATTCTCATTTTGGGGGGTTCTTATTTCTTTTTGCTGTTCTCATTGGGTGTTTTGTGCTGCCTTATCTTCCAAATTGCTGATTTAATTCTCTGCTTTATGTAACCTGCTGGTGATTCCTTATAGTGCATTCTTTATTTCAGTTATTGTATTCTTCACTTCTGACTGGTTCTTTTTAATAGTTTCTATGTGCCTTTTTATGTTTGCTATCTCTTTGTTGAAATTCTCAATAAGTTCCTTGAGCATCCTTGTAACCATTGTTTTGAACTCTGTCTCTGGTAAGTTGCTTGCCTCCATTTCATTTACTTTTTTTTTTTCTGGCATTTTCTCCTTTTCTTTCATTTGGGATGTGTTTCTTTGTTTCCTTATTTTGACTGCCTCCCTGTGTTTGTTTCTATGCATTAGGTAGATCTGCTATGTCTCCCGGTATTGGCCTGGTGGGCTTATGTAGTAGGTACCCTGTGGAGCCCTGGCACATTCTCCCTGATCACCTCCTCCAGGTACTCCAGGAATGTCCCTTGTGTGGGTTGTGTGTGCCCTCTTGTTACAGTTGAGCTTTGATTGCTATTGGGACATCAGTGGGTGGGATTGATCCTCAGCCTGATTGGTTGTGGGGTTTGGCCACATCCACAGCTTACAGGCTGCTATTCAGGAGGCTTACCCCACTGAGTGAGATTTGCCCCAGAGGGCTCTGGTGCTTGTTGAGCTTGCCCTTTGTGTGTGCTACTTGTGGAGCTAATGGGGTGGTTCTCTGATGTGGTCTGAAGCCAAGCTCCAAGTATGTTGGTTCTGGGGCCTCTTGGGAGGGGGTCCAGTGCAGGCCCAGGTAACCCATTGTCTGTGACTGATCACGGACTACCTTATTGGAGCTACAAAGCAAACTGCAGTTTTTTGCTGCTTGTGCTAAAGTTGGCAGCATATGGGAGAGGCCATGCTGCAAACTGAGGATGGCTGACACCAGCACCAGGCCTGGGGTAGCTCCAAAAAAAGCCAGGACACACAGAGGCCTTCTACCACCTGCTGGCTTCCTTAAGGTTCAGCCACTGATAAAACTTTGTGTGGTACACGATTTGGGTGAGGCAGGGTCTTAGGGGTTCACTAGAGTGGGGAGAGTTGTGGTCACCAGGTTAATGTAGATTCTAGTTTTGTGCCAGTGATAAGCCTGTAGCTACTCAGCAAAAGCATTAGAGCACTCTTTGGCTAGTTGCCGCCTGCCTGAGGCCCATGGACTCCAATAGGTTTTCAAGAAAGAGTGCAATGCTGATGGGGCTGGCTGCTCTTGGAGAAAGTGTCTCCAGTGCTGGGAGAGCTGAGTGGGGTGTGGTCTCAGTGAGTTGGCAGAGTGGAGCATTAACACTCACCAGGCCAATCAGATTCAGATTTGGGGGTAGGCTCAACCCAGGAAAGATGGCCCCCACCTTCTGGCTGTAAAGGAGGAGGAACCCACACAGGAAAAATACTGACTTTCCTCCAGTCCTCCCCGTGAGACCACACACCTCAGTCTGTTCCCTGTATGTCTCTGAGGCTCTGAGGACCCTCGAGTCACCGTCCCTCCACTGGAGCCCAAGGTGAGTGCTTGTAAATGAGTGAGTCTGTGTGTAGACCATTTAAGAGGACAGTTGGATTTCCTGCAGCCGTTTATCCTATCCAGATTATTGGAATCCTCACTGTTTTTCACAGCCGGATGTCACGGGGGCTCCTCTTCCTGGTGCCAGTACTCCGGGCTGCAGAGGGCAGTGTGGGGCTGTGGTATTTCATTCCTCCTGGGGGAACCTCCATGGCCGAGATATCCCTCCGTGTTCTCAATCGCCACAATGAAGGGGAGATGAACCTGTTGTATTTTAGTGGTTTCAAAGGCATAGCTTTCAACATTTTACTTTAAATATGTGGTTTAGTAAAAATTGTCATAAGTACCTTTATGGCTTAAGAAATTTCCTTAGTTTGCTTAGAGTTTTAATCATAAATAGATGTTAAGTTTTGTCAAACATTTTTTTCTGCATTTGTACAGCTAATCATGTATTTCCTTTTCATCAGTTGATGTGAAAATTACATTCATTAATTTGTCTAATGTAAATCAATCTTGAATTCTTGGATTAAACTCAATGGCCATAATGCATCATTATCCTTCTTGTACATTGTTGGATTCAATTTAATATTTTGTTTAGAGTTTTTGCATCTATGTTTATAAGTGGCCTGTCTTTTTCCTCTTTGAATAATCCTTTTCAATTCTTAGTATCAAGATTAATCTAGTCCCATAAAGTGAGTTTGGGAGCATTCCTTGTTTTTCATACCTCTTGACTCATTTGCTGAGGTTTGGAAGTACCTTTTCTTTGAATGCTTAGTGAAACTTGTCAGTTAACCCATCTGGTCCTTGAGTTGCTATGTGGGAAAATTTTGACTACTAATAAAATTTCTTTAATGTTTATAGCTCTATAAGGTTTTCTGTTTATTTTTGAAGTTCAAATAGTGAATATAACATATTATGGAACACAATCTACTTATATTTTTATATTGTACCTTATACTTTAATAGAATATAGGCTATTTCATATGTATTTTTAAATTTATTTCCATGAAACAGCCTGTAAATTAAACTTTATTATCTTTAATGTCTATACTTTTTAGCTTCTACACTTTTACATTCTTAAGATAGTTTGTGTCATTTTTTCTTTTTGCTTCACTCTCATCCACAGGTTTGCAATTATATTAGTTTTTTCAAAGAACAGTTTTTCTATGTTGTACATTTTAGTTGTAATCATTAATTGCT